GAGGGCGGCTTCCTCCCGGCCTTCCCCCACCTCCGCTCGGGCCGCCGGCGAGCTGGGGGGGCAGGCGCGGGGCAGCGCCGTCTGCCAGCCCTCTCGGAAGGGGGGGCCCGGTGCCGGCAGGGCCCGGTACGGTGCTGGGCAGCCGGCGAAACGGCGATGCCGCGACCCGGTTGGGGCGCACTTAAAAGCTGTCACCTGGGGAAGGTTAAAAAATACGGGGCGGGGGGCGGAACCTGCTGCCTGCCGTGTGTGTTTGCTGTTTCCGTGGCAGGAGGCACCAGGCCAGGCTTTGAAAAGCAGCATTCGTCGCTGTCAGAGGGACGGGGTCCCTCAGGCTCGCTGATGTTTGGATGCCGCAAGTTGACGCATGCCAGGATGCCGCTCGCAGTGCTTGCCAACTCAGAACTGCGGCAAACATGGCTCAACATCGCGACAGCAAGGCTTCTTCCTTCAGAGATTTCAGCTTTCTCCCTCCAGTACCTCAGAGAGAAGTCTTCTGCCAGCCTACGCTCGCTCTCTCCCCTTTCTCATCTCTGCAGTCCTGGATATCTGGGACAGCTTTCCTTTTCTTGTTTCTCGTCACTTAGTGACTTTTTAAAAAAAGTCCCACTGGAAATAATTTTCTCCTTCCTCTACCTTTAAATCTTTTCCTTCACAACCCTCCCCCTATTTTGGAGCTATTTAGTTTAAGTCTCTGAAGTGTTTTAGTTATACTTTGAATTCAATTCAGAAATTGGAACTTAAACCCATCCACGTTCAGAAAGCCTCTGGAGGGGAAATCACTGACATTTATGTTTTCTACTCATTTTCATTGTAGACAACCTTTTCTGGTACAGGTTTCTTTTCTTTGATCATCACTGTTCTCAACAAATTTTAATCCTATACTTTCCATTGGGTATTAATGTAGCATGCTTGGTTATAAGCAAAAATATTATTAAGACCTTGTTATACAGGCATGATAAAAATAGCCCACAGTCAGAAGTAAGATGGAGCTGGCAATTTAAGCACACCTGGTTACCTGGAGGACTGATGATGTGGCCATCTGAAGAGCCAACTACAGCAGAGCAGATAGGCTGAGGAAATTGGTGTCACTTGCCCATGTCCTTTGTTTCCATCAAAAGGTTTGGAGAAATCAAGCTTATTTTAGACTATTAAGTTCTGTCAAGCAAGCATTTCTGGTCAAATATTGTCTGTCCTCTCTTACAACCTCTATTTTTAAATCTACATTTTGAAGACAACAGTTTTGATCGCAATTAAAAATTTATCATCAGCAAAAAAACTTGATAAAGCGGTGAAGGATACAATCAGGAATTAAACATTTTTAGAGCCCCTTATTGACTAAAAAAAACCTCTGGAAGATTTGAAAGAGTGCAAAGTGAGGGAATTCTGCTTTAACCCGCTGATGGGCTTCTCTTCTGCTTCTTTTTTCATGTCTGTAAAAGATCTGCTTAGCAATTGTAATTATGGTGAAGTGAAATCATGGAAAGCTTATACATTATAGATTAATTAAATTAAAATCTGCACTCCTGAGTAATTTAAAGGGTTACTTGATCTTCTCATCTTACTTCTTTCATCTTTTGCTGCCTCTGTTCCCAACTACCTTTTCTAAATTTACTGAGTCAATATGAGAAGTTAGATGAACAATATGTTGAATTACATCAGAAAGTGATTTTTAATGTTCAGTAAGTATATACTGTATGTTCTCATGCTACTTGCAGTAATCTTGAAATGTGCTGCAATTTGTACGTATCATAGTAGAAAATACCTCTGCAGAGGAAAAAAGAAACCAACCACCCCCCAAAAAACCCAGAATCCTGATCTTAACATTGTTTTGCTGTGTGACTTTCAATAAATCCTGTTTAAAGCTTTTACTGCTAAATGAAAGTTCATAAATAAATAACAACATGGTAGCCTTAATTCTTGAATTTGTGTTTTGAAATGGGGGGGTTGCAAAGAAGGTCTACAGGTAGCGGTTGCCAGTGCTTCTAACCAGTTTGAAAGTCCCAAGTACAACTGAAATTCTGATCCCACTGAAAATAATTAAAATGTTCCATTCACTTCAACAAGACCAAAACTTCCCCCTGTGCACTGAAAATACATGTAACATAAGACATTGAATCAAAGTTTTCAGAAACAGAAGCCTTATACATTAAATCAATACCTAGTCGCAGGAGCTCCTGAAGACTGTTCTGTTAATGAGGCAGGAAACTTAATAGGGGTTCAGGAAACTAGCCTCAAGCTCATGTTTTTTTCAAATTTTTGGAGCCATTTGAAAATACTGGGCAAGATTTTCAAATGTGTTTCAAAAAACACACGTTGCGGCAGTCAAGTCCATAAGCAATACTGAAAACTCTATCTGTTCAACCTTATTTTCCTCTCATACCTTAGTGAACAACAGCAGGAGAATTGTCCTATAGGAATACAGGCTATCTACGTTAGCAGCTGTCTTAGTATAAGGTTTTCAAAGTTCAGCAGGAGACATTTCACAGGCTGCTGATACAATGTTAAATATGAAGTATATACTCAGATTCTAAATCATGCAGCTCTCAAAAAGGATCAGCTTTCATGTGAGAGCTATTGTAAAACTATTTCCAAATACCTCCACAGCTAAAGGTCGCCCTTTTCTACTCCTTTAAGTTTGCTTTGATGATAGTACTTGGTTTTTTAGTAGACTTTTATGGGTACGGGCCAAATTCAGTCAGTTATGGGGTAGAGATCCTTTGCAGCATATCCAAAATGATGTGTTGCTTGTTAGAGTTGATAGGCTAATAGAAGTTAAAAATCCAGATTTATTAAATTACTGAAATTATTACAGTATATATGTTTAATAATTTCTAGATGCTTTCCAAGAATGCATTTTGACTAATGGCATCTTTATAAACATAGTTCATGTGCAATGAATCAATAAGAAATCATATGATTATAGCATGCTTCTCACTGCAAAGTGCTGTGCTTAAATGATTTTCCTTCTGTAAAGGACAGTCAGATCCATGAGTTTTTGTTATCACTGCTGGCAAACCTGAAATGCAGAGGCCAGAATTAGAGGTTTTTTAAATAAGTATATATGAAGTACTAAAATAAGTACTTCTCCATTATTTGTATGATATTAGTGTTCTATGTATTTGAAACTCACTTACATGGATATAGCTTATGTAAAAATAAAAATAACATACATTTAATAAGTATTTAATGGGTACATTATGATAATTTAAGAAGCAAGATTTGCAGGGGAGGATAAACCTTTTATGAGACCAAATTTTATAGGTTATAGATTGTACAAGTTATATGATAGCAGTGGAACACTTTCACAGGCTGTTGCTGGTATTTCAGTAGCTTGCTCACAGACCAGATTCATGACTGACTCCCTGACCAGAAGAAGCCAGCTTTAAATAAATCACTAAAGGAGTAGTGGGTGAAGAAAGACTCATTCTGGGCAAGAGACAATTTTTTCCTATATTTAGAGGATAAGGAAAAGAAACAGGAGAGGATCCTGGGAAAAGCAAGAGACTGAATGTGGGCAAGGGAGTGCAGAAGGTCTCCACTATTGTGATTCTGGAGACACCTCTGCTTGTGGCAATTCAGTGGTTCAGCAACCACTCTAAAATATGTCTGAAAATCTCTAAGTTTTCTTGTAAAAGAAGTTGATATATGATACGTGGAGTCTCTCACAAAGGAATAGTTCTTGTGCCTACTGGCTACTTCAAAACTTACTGGGGTTTTGAGCATTAATAAGACAGATGTTAACAGAATATAAAAAGTTATTACAGTCAGTGTAAATTTTGGAACCTGACACAAAGCTGTTTGAAGTCAATGTTAGTCTTTCCATTGGTTTCAGGGGTTTCCTATTAATTGAATCATCACAGATACTGCAGATAGGTTTTTATTTGCCAGTATTAAGTCTGCTTCTTTGTTTAAAACAAGACATTTTTCTTTTCTAAATTTAATATGCTCAATAAGTGTGCTTGCTCTGTGGTTATGTTCTTAGCTAATTTGCTTAGCAATAGGATTTTATTTTCTAATGAGGCAACTACCCAAAAGCCTTCTGTAGAAATCAACAGTAGTGGATATTTGTTATCTTTTTGCGTAGTAGTTTTTCTATATTTTAAATGAAGTACTCCCTAATTCTAAGAATGTTGAAATACTGTTCTTTATTATAAAACCTTAGCTGTCTGACTAGCTATAGAATTTTGTGCTCCCTTCACCAATGCTGATAAGCTTATACTGGCTAAGAAGGCTACTGCAAAAATAAATCTAATTTATATAATTTCCCAAGGAGTTGATGTGTTAGTGTGACACATATCCTGGGAGTAAGATAATGAAAACAAACCCCAAG